CTGAGGCCTTGTCGCTGTAGTCGGTGGGAACCGTGCCGGATGGAGGAATGGAGAAGACGGGATCGATGGTCTTCTCTTGGTTGGACTCTTGCCAATCCTGCCTTCTCCACCCCTGGTACTTCTTCAGTGTGTAGTACAACTCCTGTCAGGAACAAGCATAGTTACACGTGGAACAACTACATTGCTGTAGAGACTGATCTTGCCAGCACCTGTAACATACGGTTCTGGCCCCGGGGAAATCCAACCTCATGAATAAAGTAGCACCGCATTCGAGTGCAATGAATAGTGTGTTTGTGTGTGTGTGTGTGTGTGTGTGTGTGTGTGTGTGTGTGTGTGTGTGTGTGTGTGTGTGTGTGTGTGTGTGTGTGTGTGTGTGTGTGTGTGTGTGTGTGTGTGTGTGTGTGTGTGTGTGTGTGTGTGTGTGTGTGTGTGTGTGTGTGTGTGTGTGTGTGTGTGTGTGTGTGTGTGTGTGTGTGTGTGTGTGTGTGTGTGTGTGTGTGTGTGTGTGTGTGTGTGTGTGTGTGTGTGTGTGTGTGTGTAGTGCTAGGGACGCGTAGCGCCCAGTGCTGTTCTTTCCAGGAGGTCTTTGGCCAGGACTTTACGTACTAACTCAGGCTATGTGTTGGCTGAGCAGTACTTAGGGTCTAGACATCACGCAAGTAAAATCATTCTGATAAGTAATACTCCAGGGGCCCCGGATGCTCTGAGCTGAGTCCGATCGCGTTGGTGGTTTCCGGGGGGGGGGGGGGGGGCTCTGGAAATACAGGTGTGGACAGAGCACGTAGGCTATGGGCGGACAACAATGATTCACTCACTTTACGCATGCTTAATGCTGATCTATGGTATAAATTGAATGATGGCCAATATCAAGTCACATATTTGGAGGCTGGTTGAATCCAATCGAGATGCAGTTACTTCACGTTTGCCATCACTTACTCCTCCATCTACTGGTGAAGAGAGCCATCTGAAAGACACCTCTTCCAAGTCACCACCAAGAGGAATGAGCGTAGCAGCCAGCTGCCGGATGGTTTCCGTGTTTTCAAACGTTGAGCCACTGAGCTCGGTGTACAGTTCCAGGGCATTGGATGATGGTTGCCGGGCTGCAAAAGATGCAGGGAGAGAGGTGGGAAAGGAGAAGAGAAACATAGATTAGTTACCCCAGCAGGACACTACATGCCGTCAGATGGGTGTACATGTCGTTTGTACAGTTGGACATGGGAACAGTGGTGGACACATGCTAACGACTACTTTATGCTAGCCGTTTCACGACCAGTGAGCATATATGGGCATAGCTAAGCGAATGAGGGAATGGCAATCGGTGCCATTTTTCACCTCATTACGTCATTAAACTCAGATTAAAGCAACAGCTGATAAAACAATTACCAGGACTATCAAGCAGGCTTGGTAGTGGTTTGAGTCATTATGGCAATGCCTGAATCACACAAACACAATCGTTCACTTTACATGTAGCCTGTAATGCAACCCGATTTGCTATCTCCAGCAGCCAGCAGCTGTTGTACTAACTGCTCAACACTGGCGGGAATATTTATCCAGTCCAAGCCCTTGTGCTTTTGGAGCATGCCATCATACAATAACGTTATGCTGCTGCTATCCCTGTTGCTCCCTGGATTTGGGAAATAACATGGTATGCACGTTCCTTGCATTCTGCAGTGAAGCAATCGTCAGTGGAATTTTAATTTTTAGCATAGTGTGAATATCTGGGAGCATAAGTCATCACGCCACACACAATGATGGAATTGGATACAAACTTCTTCCCATGAGCGCCACTAAAATAACTTCCTACTGGAATGCTCTCTCACAGTCCCAGGCACCTGTTAGCACGTGGTATGCCCAGGGAGAGAGGCGGTAGAATAGTATTGTGACAGGTCGTTGAACACCTACAAGGCTACATGACTGTACTCCTTATACATGTGGACTCTGCCTAAGACGATCACTATCATTCATATGCATGTACAGTGTACAGTCATACAATATTATGCACATGCACATGACCCATCATGCATCACGTCTATGCTGCTGGGAACAGTCACCATAGTCAGCTGATCAGTCATCTGGCAGTCCAACCACTTGCCCATGGCCATTGGGGCCATTGCCCTGAATGGAGTTCGAATACCCTGCACTTGCAGTGTACAGACATGTACTGAGTGTACCCATGTGGCCAGTGGTGATGCATGCATGGCTGGCGTCCTATGATGATGCCAGCACTATCGGGATTATGCTAACTCATAATGAGGGGAAACTGCACTTCTCGATGATGCCTCAGCATTCCTTGTACTATTGCAGTATATGGATGTCAAAATGTCACACTGCCCTTAGCGTGTTCTGTGATTTCGACACACAGAAACTCGAGCTGCTAAAGTGGCCATAACAACTACTAAAATAATAACTATGATGGCTTGATGGGACCATGGCAGTCCCAGAACCATGACCACAACTTGAAATGCTTCAGGGTAGGAATTCGTGCAGGTGACTGCTGCTGGCACGCAGCGAAGAAGGTGATGAACAGGAGGAAGTACCTCTCCCATTTTAACTGCGGTGAGCTAGTGTGGTTTGTTGGCGATTGATCTCTATCACTGAGCACTAGCATTAGTACTAGTAGCTGCTAAGCAGACCCTTTGAACAGGAAGAATCACTGATTATCTTAGCAGATCTCCACCAAACATTTGCCCTGTGCAGCCAGGACCTTCAAGTGCCAAAAAACACCTGGTTACCCTATCTACTGTAACTCCTATCGTTCCTTGATGCAATCATCCTAACGTTAGGCCTTGCAGCGCTTGACCACACACTGCTACTGAGTCCTGCGTGCAAGCACAGTGCTCCGTGACACGTCAGACTTCTGTCAAGTCGGAAAAGTTTTAAATTGTGTTTGCGGAATAGAAAAGCAACCAGTAACCACTATTCACAGCATTACTATTATCCATGGTCGTGCTGATCTCTTTGCGGTTTCACCAAGTATTCAATGACTCTATGGTAGAGAGTACGTGAGATCGAAATGCATCATTCCTATGGAGTGTGAGACCATTGACCAACTGCTCATGCACTCCCATTTCCTTCATACCATTCGCCACCCATGATTCTACTAGTATTCTCAGCCACGCCACACAAATGGAACCATAACACTAATGGGTCCAGAGAAACGTAGGCAGGCACGTTTTGTAAGAATAAGAACGTTTCGGATTCGCATGGGATTCCATGGTGCGGAATGTAACGGGCAAGTAAAAGTGCACTGGCGGCACGTAGGCAATATTGTCAGCAAGCACTTTGACAACCAAGGACAGGGGAAAGACAGGCCTGGTACCGCGAAATGCTATTTCACCAGTGCCTCTGACGGCAGTAAGCAGGCATTCTCTAGCTGATTCTCCGATTTCACCACAATCAGCAGGTGCTGCTGGCTGTGCTGGCAGCTCGTTGGCAGCCTCACCTCACTCAGTCCCTGTCCGCACGTCTCTTACTATACAATGTTATAGGTACTGAGTGCTGCTCAGTGAGTATGGGTACATGACTGTATTATCATGCACTCTCTATGCAGTAACATGAACCTGACAGAGTCATATTGCATTTCCTTGTTTTGTATACGTCGTGTACGGGTAAGGAGAGAGAGAGAGAGAGCAGTGCATTACATACGTCGCCGCTTTGTTTTGTTGCTACCTTCCCGGCCGCGTACACTGCATGTTACACCGGGTTTGACTGTCACTTGAAATCACCCTAGGCTGGTCTTTCACGGAACAACTAACTGTACACGTACATATCACATGTTGTTGATTTACACCAGAGAATCTAATCATGCGTGACCAGCTAGCAGTGAAGATTATGGAATCCGAGACAGCAAGACAGAATTCTGGTGATGCCCGCCCATGTTCCCGGAGACTGTACGGGATGCTACAGCGTCATGCCATATGCAAAAGATGACTCCCTACCGAGCAGCACACGCCGACACGCCTACTAGTATGTCGTGTGCTATACTAGGCTAACTGGAGCTACGACAAAAATAGAGGGATCAATACCAACTAGGGCTCAGCAAGACAACTATGAACAACCCAATCCACTCCCTAGCTCTTTCCATTCATGTCGTCGCGGTGATGTTTAGTCGTGGAGTTGAGCACGAATGTGGTCCCCATCCGCCCCTCCCTATCCCTAACAGCACTGCAAGTACATAATCCCTACCAGGGAGTAGGTATATTACCACTCTCTGGTTCCTTCCGAGCGCTTTCGTCACATGTACACAGTGCAGAGAATGCAGTGGTCCGATTGAAGAGGAAGCAGAAAGACTCCACTTGGGTCTCCCTGCTGGACACCTCTAAAAACAGCAAACCTGGACAATGTCACTGTTGACGTCTGGGCTAGCTGTGAACATCTTGCACGGCCAAATCACGCATGCCGCGCTGTACAGAGTGTGAGTCAAGTGCTTGGAATGACTCCAAGTCCAAAACACTCGGGGCCAGGGTAAGTCGCTACCTCCTTGCATTCGAGAGGTAGGCTCATGCATTGAGCTATTTCACGGACGGTGATGCAAGGGGTCAGGTACTACATGGTTTGCTCAGTTCTAAACACCACCTACACGTCCTATACGTCCTACACGTCCTACACGTCCGAACGCAACTAGCTGTTAGTCGGGTGCCCAGAGGTAGCGTTTTCCAAGACAACAACTAAATTGGATTTCACGACTTGACATCTATACCTTGACATTTCAAAGGCGCAAGAAACGCTAATGAAAGTCTGAAACGTTGATGCAGTGCTTGTCGTCAGTCCACGGAACAGCCGAACTGGTCATTA